ACAAAAGTATCTCCCCATCTGGATAAGACGGGCTAGAAGAGGTGGTTTCCCTAGCGTCTGCCTTGTGGTGGGAATCGCCATCTGCGAAAATGTCGAGTCCGAATGGGATAAGACGCGCGTCGCGGAGCATAAGGCAAACATGGAGGTGCCGCTCGACTTCGTCATTTCGGTTGCTGTTGGGTCCCCCTCCCGCTCCCCGTGGGCGCCAATGTTGAGGCCGCTGTAGCCAAGGAAGAGACAGATGTATACGTCTTCAAGGCTAGGCAGGCCCGGAAGAGCATATTCGCGCTGCAATTGAGGGTGATCGAGAAGGAGGGTTGGATTGGCTGGTTTGGCTGGTTTGGCAGTCAGACTGTGATGGGGCGCGGACCGGCGGTGGAACCGGGCCACGAGCTTGGAGAGGAGGACGAGGACGAGGAGGGGTTTGAGATTGCGGATTTGGTTCTTCACGAGTTAAAGGACGTGCCTGTTATCGAGGCGGACGGCGCGACAGAAGGCACGGAAGGCGTTACGGAAGAGAAGTAAAAGATGGCAAGTGTGCCTGAGAACATCCAGTGTCATGGGGCTATAGGTAGAAAATTGAAGGAAGGTACGATACAAGAAAAACCTGGCGTCACCCCACTCATTTAGCTTCAGAATCAGACCATGTTGCTTTCAATCCCGTGTCTCTCATTAAAAACGCTCCTCATCCATCTTCAACTGACATTGTCCCCTTTACATTATCCAATGTTCTTCCTTAATCATTCGGATGGTGTTTCGAGCAGCAAGCGGCGCCATTATTCGAGCAACAACAGCCTCCGTTGTCGCTAAAGAAGCATCCTTGGTTCGTTGAAAAGCAGCATCCGCCCATGTCACTGAAGCAGCACCCGCCACGTGTGCTAAAGCAGCAGCCCGGAGAGTTCTCAAGTCTTTCTCGTTCGGCATCGTCCATCCGTGGCACTGAGGCGCTCATCGGGCGCGGGCTCTTATATTGCTGTTGCTGTTGTTGTCGTTGGATTGGTTGCAATTCGGTGTTTGATGATACATCAAGAATGTTGTCCGACGATGCGGTCGTTGTGGGGGAAGGAGGTGACACCGCTGCCTCGTACGTTGGAGGATGGTCGTCCATCCGCTCTCCTTCTTCCTCGATGGGAACCGTTTGCTGTTGGTTATCGCGCTCCCGATAGCATGTGTTCCAAGATGTCTTTTTGTCGTGAGGAGAGTTCATGTTTTGTCGCTGCTTCTCACGGTAGCATGTGCTCCAAAATGTTTTCTTTTTGTTGTGAGGAGAGCTTATGTGGCGTGAGTTCAAGATTGCACGAGTTCGATTTCCCGATTGATTTCGAATTGATTTGAACTTGGGGTGAGTGGGTTGATGAGGTTGGGACAAAGAAACTGGTAGTGGAGAGATACGTTGGGTGATGTTGCTCACCACTTAAATGTCTCCAGACCAGTACGGGAGGCCTTCAAACCAAATCGGGGATGCATTCGTCACCTCCTCGTTTTAGAACCAATGGGCAGCCGTGGTCTCCCATGAATGCGGCGCAGACCCGGGATTCAGCCCTTCGAACCAAGTATACTAATTCCGATACACAAGACACAACAGAAAAGCGACGCTGCACTTCATGACGTGAAGTTGCAGTTCAACAATTGAAGGGAGACTGTGTGGTCAAGATAAACTCTTCCCCTACATATCAAAAATGGCGTTGGTTGGAGCCAATGCCCCACTTCCTTTCCACATCGCTGACATGCTGACATCTAGAACTCGATCAGACCTTGGCATCTCTACCTCTCACCCAACCCATCAGCTCACCAGGATCTCGTCCAATTCGCCAGTCGCAATAATTGCCTGGTCCACCACAAGGCTTGTGTTGACCTCTAGCATTCATACGGAAAAATATCACGGTCTTGTTCTGTTATCTCTACAAAGTACCAGCCAATCTTTTCACGGAAAATGGCAAGGATGGGGGTCCATATGTTGGAGCTACTTGCCCACCACTTCAAACACGGGCGCGACACGATTACGTATCCCTATAGTACGTAATCATCCTATTATTATCGCCAGCTTAATGCTCACTTTGAGAATAGCTGGGAACCAAGACTGGTCGGAATTGCGGCACGGACTCTGCACCACCACCGCATGATCCTTTTCGGCCCCCAACCAAGTAACTGGTCTACTGCGTACCACCATTTCACAGACCCTGTATCCCAATCGTCAGCCTAAGGAGGTAATTGACCAATTGACCTTGGATCTCGCCGCTACTATTCAAGGTTTTCTTCTCCTCGCCAATACACTAGCAACTAAATAGCTCTCTGCAACGACTTCATTACACCCATTATCCAGGGGTCCATCACTCCTCACGGCAAGCACGACGCCTTGAATCGAACTACCGGATCTGATCACCACTTGATTCCAGTTTTGTGCCCCTCCTCCAAAGCCTGTGTAACGCCCACCACATTGACCCCCACGCCAAAGCATATGCGGGTTTTGTTTATCTCGCTACCAATTGGTATAGGTATAGGAGGGTGTGTCAGCGCTAGCAGCACTATCTGGCTGGTTTTAATCAGTATTTATGCTCTGTCCCTTCGGACTTGCGCCTTGCAGACTGCAATGCGGGAACTTGCCCTATCACCACAGTTTCACGAAAATATGCCCAGACACGTTTGGTGAATATGGTGTGTGGCGTGTGACACCAGGCTCGCATCGCATACGACTAGAACCCAACAGCAAGGGTCAGGTCTTAGCTACCAGCATGCAGACCCCGCTTTAGGGTGCAGTGTTACCGCCAGAGCTTTGGGGAGTAGCATATCTACGAGAATAAATCTCGGACAAGTGAAGTTGAGCATTCTCTTTTGCTTTTCAGCTCTCTTGTCATTGCGCAGAGCTTCCGTTTGAAACTGAGCAGCAGCATGGCCTCAGCAGCAGGGGAATCAGATTCGATTTCGGCCGCGGTGATTACTTCTCTCCTGGCCAACAAGCTGGGAATACTCATCCTTGGTCCGTTAGTTACGACCTTTTTGTGGTTCCTCGTCTCTTATCAAACCTCTCCCTTAAAGAGATATCCGGGTCCTTTCTTGGCAGGTCTGTCAAACTGTTCTTTTTGATTTTGTCATGGGAGCGTTGCTAACGTTATCATCTCAGGATGGACCAACCTCTGGCGCCTGTGGCTAGCCATATCAGGCGATTACGCTCCCACGGTGAAAAGGCTACATGAAAAGTACGGCCCAGTTGTTCGACTGGGGCCTAACCTCCTGGATCTCGACTTACCCGAGCTTTCGAAAGTCATCTACGGTACTGATGGCAAGTGGGTCAAAGTCAGTGTCTTTTACCAATTGACAGTGGCGGTCATATATCGTATGGAACAAATTGATATTAACTAGCTACTTATGCTGTTTAGAGCGATTTTTTCAAAATTAGCAGTACCGTTGTCGATGGTAAAATCGAATACCACATGTTCAGCGAGGTCAACAATGTCGAACATGCTCGGCTGAAGCGCCCCATCGTTCGCCATTTCTCTGTACCTGCCGTCCTGGTAACGGAGCCGCACATGGACAAGGTGATCCTTGACTTTATCAACCACTTGCAAAAGCAGTTTGTTGAGCCGGCCAAGGTTTGCGAGTTTGGCGAATGGATTGCGTATTGTGAGTTCATTCTTGACCCTGGAACCGGTTTCATACTTCAGTCTCGGAAACAAGCGGTAATTGACCATCATCTCGCCCACAACAGATGCGTGGGACTTTCTCGGCATTGTTACGTTTAGCAAGAAGTTTGGCTACATGGAAAAGGGGACTGACTTCGACGGTACTCTGGCCCTTGCTGACCAGTCAATTGACTATCTCGGCATATGTGGGCAGATGCCCTGGATGGACTATTGGCTCGACAAGAATCCGATCTATCCGCTAGGTCCTCCCAACCTTGCCACTGTGACAGGAGTGGCAATCAACTACATGGTAGCACGAATGAAGGGCGAAGATAAGAGATTCAACCCGGACAAGCCAGATTACCTGCAGTATTTTATCGAGTCTAAATCCAGCCACCCCGATATCGTGGACGACAAGACGATTATCGGCTATCTTCTCCTCAATTGTGAGTCCAGGCTTGTCTCTTCTTTCCACTCGCCAACAGACTCTTACCAAAGATGATAATCTAGTAATCGCCGGTGCCGACACAACCGCCATCGCCCTGCGTGCCCTCTTCTACTACAGCCTAAAAGACCAACGCGTCTGGAAGAAGCTGCAAAACGAAGTCCGCGCCAGCATCGCGCCAGGCACGCCGGTGCCGCACGCTCAGGCACGGGCTCTCCCCTACCTCGACGCCGTCGTGCGCGAGTCGCTGCGCTACCACCCCTCCATCTCCATGAACATGGAGCGCATCGTTCCCCAGAGCGGCCTCACCTTACCCGACGGATCCGTCGTACCCGGCGGCTGCATGGTGGGCATGAACCCGTACATCGTCGGCCGCAACAAGGGCATCTTTGGGCCCGACGCCGACGTGTTCAACCCCGACCGCTGGCTGCAGCACCCGGGAGAGGGCGACGGCGCCTTCAAGGAGCGCATGCAGCTCTGGAATACGGCCAACCTGACGTTTGGCGCGGGGTCGCGCATCTGCCTCGGGAGGAATCTCAGTCTGATGGAGATTTACAAGGTGGTGCCGACGCTGGTTGCGACGTTTGATATTGAGTTGGAGGATCCTAATGAGGAGTGGTGGACGTGCTCGCGGTGGTTTTTCAGGACGAAGGGGGTGGTCTGTCGGTTGAAGGCGAGGAGTGGGTGATGTGAGTGAGCGGGTTTGATATGGAGTATTTAAAGTTTTGAACGATACTAATGGAGGTTTATAGTCACATTTCCAATCGACCTTTCATATTGCTAGGCATACTGCTTGATCAAGCTTCCTACTTGTCGTCCTAACTAAGTCTACTATTTACATGCGGATATCGGGCCCACTCTGTGCCACATGTTTCCACTTCTCAGCCGCGGGTCGACACATGAGATGGAAACTCCGAGGGATTGACCAATCAGTTGGGTGACTAGTCTAGTGGTCAGGACGGTTCGTTGTGGTCTCGCTTCCAAGCAACCTCATCCGAACAAACCCCGGTTCGATTCCGGGGTCGCCCATAAGCTTTGATCCCTAATTTAGACCTAAGTAAATGGTACAGCACCCCCTTTCTTTCCTTTTTTTTACCCAACTCTCAACTTTCCCTCCAACCTCAATCAGAGTTTATCGGGCCCACTCCACAACCCACCCCTCCATATCCTCCCTCCCCGTCGGCAACGCCTTTGCCAGATCCCCATCCAACTCCTCATCGTTGAAGCGAACAACAGTAGACCCAGCCGGCAGCAGCTTCCCAAAGACAGCAACCAGCATGGTGACCATCCTGTCGCCGAACCCCGCGAATGCCGGGCACTTGTGCGTGCCTATCGAGTACGGCAGATAGGCCTCCTTTTGCAGCTCTGACAGCCCGTCCCTCCCGTTGTCGTTTTCGAATCGCTCAGGGCGGAACTCGAGCGCGTCGGGCCCCCAGATGCGCGGGTCGCGGTGGCAGGCTTCCACGTCGGCGGAGATGAGGGGTTGTTGTTGTTGTTGTTGTTGTTGTTGTTGTTGTTGTTGTTTATCATCTGCTGTGGGCGACGATGCGGCAGCGGCGCGGTAGATTCTTTTGTTGGAGGGGTATAGACGGAGGCCCTCCTGATGAAGCGTCAGCCCAGGACCTACTTGAAAGGAAAACTAAAGAACGAACAAAAAAAAACTAACCTTGGCAACCATCAAAGCCCGCCTCTCCCTCTCGCGATCGCCAAGACACGCAGGAACGTCCTCGAGCCGCTTGGCGACGTCCAAGCCCGGCTGGCGGTGGTAGGCCGTCACGTACGTCAGCAAGACGACTCGCCAGAGCGTCTCGTACTGTGGGAGGATGAACTCTAGTGCTGTTTCTGGGCTGACCTCGACCATTGATATCGGTGGTTCGTTCTTGTTGGCGTTCAGGTTGGTGGTTGGTAGCTCCAGGCTGAGGTTTCTCAGCGCGCTGCTAAGTCTCTGCTTGGACTCCGCCACAGCAGCAGCTTCTTCGTCTCGCTTGTCTTTCTGCTGCTTTGACTGCACCCAGAGCTTGTTGATCTCCTCTGTGATGACGGTAACCGATTCTTCGTCACTTTTGTCATTGACAACAGACCACCCCCCCTGGCCAAAGATGCTCTCTAGCACCACGGGGAGACATACATGGCGGACAGTTCTTGCCAGCGGGATGCTAGTCGGACCGTGGTGCTTGCTGTGGTATTGAAAGCTCTCAAATTGCGATGCTCTCCTCTGGGGCGTAGCAGTGGCCTCTGTGATGTGCCCAGCCAAACAGACCTGTGCAGCTCGATACAGCATCTCCCAGTCCTTGGTGTCTTTGCTGAGCATGCCGCGGACTGCTTTGCGAAACTGTTCGTGAGTAGTAACAGATGACGTGGTAAGGCTGTTGTTAATCTCAAAGGCTGCCACGAGACGTCGGTTGGCTTGGGCTCGGAGGTGCAGACGCTCTTTGAGCGTGGTTCTGGGACCGGCGTAGGTGAAGTCGATGATGCAGCGCTGTTGCTGGAGCCATTTCCGGGCGTTGTTGGCGGGAGGAGTTTTGTTTCGGGTGCGGCGATGATGGATGAAGAGGGCTACCAAGGCGAGGAACGCCGCGAGGGTTGTGGTAGTAAGCATGGTGTCCAAGACAGATAGAATGAGTAGTGGGTGTCGTACTGTTGTTGCTGTTGGGTGTTGGTGGGTTGGCAGAAAAGGAGGGAGACACGAGGCCAACGATAGTGATGACATGGAAAGCAGACACACTTGCGGCCACACAAGAGTACATGGTTATATACCAGAAGCAACAATATGAGGATGCGAGCTCATTCTTCTTAACAACAAAGCGCTGAAATGGTTGTTAGATTGCAACCTCACGCCACCCGCGTGGATGCTTCTCCATCTGCCTCGATCTGTTTCGACGTATGTCGAGCAACCCCTCTTTCTCTTATTCAGGAGGCTGATGGTAATTTCGAGACTTCATGTTTGCTGGTTGTCGACGCCACATTTATCACTGCCGTCGAGGGTTGGCTAAGGTAGCCGGTGAGGAAAGACTGTTTGTTTGTTTGCTTGGTTATCTCTCGTATGTAGGTAGCCTATGAGGACAGCCAGCAAAAGCAATTACAGCACCTGCCACACGGGAGGGATGATTGACCGCTTTTTACTGGCTCTCTGCAGCCAGGCCTGCTAGTCGGGCACAGCTGCATATTCGAAATGGTGGTAATCAATCTCCAGTGCGCGGTGGCGGGAGAGGCCTACAGTCGGGTGCCTCATCGTCGGGCAGCCACTATTCTAAGCTTCACGCATCGCCATGGAGCTCTTCTTAATAGGGACCAGGATGGTTGGAAATATTGTTCTCTGCTTTTACGCTGGGATACTAAGCCCAGATTTTATGTGCAGAGAGAATGACAACTTGATAAAGGTCTGGTCCCTGGAACTGGAAGCAAAAGGAATTCTACCTCGTACTATTCTACACGCTACTATCCTACAGAATAAGAAACAAATGCAGGCAATATCGTGCAGACGTTTATCATATACAATCCATCACCCCAGCCACCCAAGCAGCAGTCCACATCTCATTCAGTCATCACACTCCCAAGATCTCTCACCCGCCCCATCCCTCAGACACGATCTCCAGGACCAGCACCACCCCTGGCCCCCTGCACATCAGGATAAAACTCCATCTCGTAGTGTCCCCCCGTCATTCCATCATTCCTCTCATTCCTCAGCCCCTTGGACGACATGGGCGACCCATCATCACCACCGTTCCTGTGAACAAAGGGGCCAGGATGATGCAACTGCTCGGCGCTCTCAGGCATCTTAACAAAGCTGCTGGGGTTGTGGTCGTGGCTGCGGCTATCAACACCGCTGCCGCTTCCCGACGAGCCCTTGTTGGATGTCGCTGCCGGGGTAGAGAAGCGAAGGAGCGACATGACACTTTCGCTGGCTGGCAACAGGATTCGGGCGAGGATGGGACGCAGGGTCAGGCCACAAGCAGCGATAATGCCTACTTAGACCTCGACTAGGTTCCAGATGGAGATGCCGGTGAGGATTGCTGTTGTTTTGTGAGGAGTTTAGTTAGTAGCTGTCCTAGTGAACGAGGTTGTGGTGATGAGGAGGACAGAGGCTGGATGGGGAGGTGGCATACAGATGGCGTCTTCGGTGTAGAGGCCCAACGTGGCGGCGACGTAGATGCATGTTTTTGCAATGGACGCACCAACGGAGCTGACTATGTCCATGTTAGCCCAGGCCCTACGAAGTATACAATAACAGAATACTTATAGTGTGTTAACCATAAACGTCAACAGTGTCAGTATTTTTGTCCTTGTATCTATTTGTAGTCGCAGCACAATGGTAATGGGAATGGGAATGGGAATGAGCAAGGTGATCAAGTCCGTCAGAATATCGCTCCCAACCATGGCATATCCACTACTAACGGCACTCCCGCAGTGATCCAGATACTCCTGGGGCGTGCCGAACAGCGCCAGCAGGTACTTTCCGCACTCGAGCAGGCCGGCGAGGATGAACGAGACTGCCCAGACGACAACGACGGCCATCCAGACCATCAGGAAGCGGCGGAACACAGTGTCAATATGCAACCCAGTCCTATTATCCAAACCCCCCACGTTTCCGGCTGTGGTTTCTCCAACTCATAGATCGTCGAAACTAAGGTAAGCAAACAAATGGCCCAATATCCACTCTGTTAATCTATATCTATGACTATAGGCACAAGACCTAGATATCTACGAAATCAAGTCCCTATTATCACACTCATCCCAGTGCCCATCTTCAACGCCCGGGGCAGACAAGCTATATTGTACGTTGTGCTGAAGCCCTTGTTATTCAGGTTTTCCCGCACGACATAACAGAAGAATATCAAACAAAAACACTGACAACCTCTCTCACACAGCCCCTGCCCCAGTAAAATATGTCAACCGCTGCCTCACCGGCGACATCGACACGCCCAAGTTCATGGGCGCCCCGCGGCCAGAACTCGACCGCGCATGGCACGACCTCCTCGAGGCCACCATGATCCGCTACACAGACGACGAGCTGCTCCTAGCCAACAACGCGACCCCGGTCCGCCACGAAGACGGCGGCTACGCCGGCGGGCTGGGCATCTCACACTCTCTCCACTGTCTGGTAAGCCTCCCAACTCTCGCGTACACTACTAACACATGTGCACAACTTACACAAAACAACCCCACAGAAACGCCTCAAACAATACATCCACCCAGACTACTACTACAACCACGAGACCCAGGACTGGGCCGAGCTCTACTCGCACGTCGACCACTGCCCCGAGTCGCTGCGGCAGGAGATCCTGTGCAGCGCCGACGCCAACGTCTACACGCCGCAGTGGACGGCCCATAGCCGCGTCAAGCCCACCGTGCGCGTCCCGCGGCCGCACGCCTGCGTCGACTGGGCCGCCCTGCACGGCTGGATGCAGGGACGCGCCGCACGGCTGGACGATATGGTCGGCCCGCCCTACAGTTTGTATGATGGAAAGGGGGAGGGGACGGGGCATGGGGAGGGGGGTGGGCGGTGGGATGTTAGCTGTGGTGTTGTTGGGTTGTCATGTTTAGGTAGTGCGGTTGTCTTTGTTGTTGCTGTTGGTACCAGGTTCTTTTAGTATATTCATCATAACATATCCCTGATGATGTTGATAATGCACACTCGTCATGGAAAACGTGAATGACAAAAGTCCGTTCATATAACTTGGATGCTAGAGGTAGAAAGGATTCACCCAAAGAGCCCATGTCCATCACTCCTTGTCATCCCTTGAGTGTTAGCCCAGCAAAATAGTGTGGTAACAAAAAGCTTCGATAGATGGATGGATCAAGAACCAAAAACATGGCCCCAAAACCGATGGTACGATATGACAAGAACAAGCAGATATACCCTCTCAGAGAGTTGACGCTGCAGGGGTATTAAACAAGGAGAGGGATAATAACAATGAGGCGGGCAGAGAAAGGGAGGGCACCAAGGTGGGTAGGTAGATGGGTAATAATGGTGATATACATGCAAAACCACAACAAGCATATCAAGGGGGCAGGGGTAAGTGTGTGTT